CTGTTTCGCAGCTTTGTAAGGTTTGCATGCTCGTCCTAAGCGTTGTGCAAGCGCTCGTGGGCCGGTACTTCCCGTGGCAGCAGTCTCAGATAGTCTCAGACTGTCAGACCAACGGAGTGTCTAAGCAACAAGGTTGCTCTCTCTCTCTCTCTCTCGCCTGTGCCGCTCGAAGAGTCGCAGAGGCCTTGCTTCCAATGTTGGGTGGCCGGCCGTCTGCTGGAGGCGCCTTCACAGCTCGACCATCTGAATTCACCCACGTGCTTCTGACCAGTTGGCCTATCTTGTGATGGTGCTCCGTGCTGTGGGCCGCGCAGTGGGTCGAGCTGAAGCCCAAGCCATAGTGAGGCCACGCGTCTGTCGAAGACTTTTGCAGAGCAAGACTTTTCCAGCGCAACACTTTTGCAGAGCAAGACTCCGCCTTGCACTGCAGTTGCAGCTTTTTTGCACTCTTGCAGCTTGCGCTCTTGCAGTCCCAACAACTCGGTGTTGCCCCATTTGCGGGAGAGCAGCTTTGCCAGGGCCTTGACTATTCGATGACATGTGAAGTGCAAAGCCTTGAATGCTTCGACATCTAAGCATCTCACAAGGCAGAAAGCTGCACAAGCCAGGGAAGCCCTGGTGGTTGGGAGGCGATTTGTGGATACTTGCGACCGTCACTAGTATGAGTTTGCCACGTCAGCTTCGAAGCCAGCAAAATTTCTGATGAGAGAGGTCGGCATGTTGGTTGGTTGGGTTTAGGTGGAGTGGTGGGAAACTCATCCTGATGCCTGCCAGACTATCCTTTGAGGGTTGAGGCTCCTCTTTTGATAAGCCCCTCTGCAGTGTCGTCGAGCTTTCGTCCCTCGCTGCGCTCCACAACTATTTACACTGACATGTGTGTGCCAGGCATTCTGGATAAGTCCCCCTCAAGGTGCCGCCAGTGGAAGACAAGCAAGAAGTACAAGCTTCCAAAGTGAAGTACAGGCAGGCATTGGCGGAATGATGCGAATGGATTACGGATGTGGTTTGCCAGGCACACAGCCCTCAGAGTTCCGCTCCTGAGCCCACCTAGTGGGCGGTGCCAGGTGGCAGCCAGCGGGTTTTTAGCAGGGTTTTTGCATTGCGCATTCTGTGTCTGTCTTGCCCGCAGGCCTGCTGAGCCGCAATGACATCAATTGAACACTTCGACCTCGACCCACCGCGACAGAAAATATGGGAGGGCCCGCAGATCACGTTGCTTGCCAACACGGGGAGGTGAGGAATTCGGGCATATGAAAGCTTGGAAGATGTGCCCTGGCAGGATCGGACCCCAGCGATATGCATGTGCTTGCTGGGATGCTATGACGCCATGAGCAAGAACCTCGGACCCAAGGCCCAGCCGCACGGTATGCCATACCTTTTTGAAGAAAGCTCCTTGGATTGCGCACTGCGTAGCACCATCACACGTGGACATTGGAGGTCACCGCTGAACGCATTCTGCCGTTGATCATGCCCCTCCTTGCGGAGGAGGGTCTGTCTTTCGATCAGTCTGGGCCTAGGATGTTGTAGACATGCATTACGAAAATGGACGAAGTGGCTGCGAAGAGACTGCACCGAGCAGGTGGGAAACTCAGCTGACCGTCGCGAAGAAACTGATGCAGCGGGACCTTTGGCAGCAAAGGAGGGTGTGTGTGTGTGTGTGTGTGTGTGTCTCTGTGTGTGTGTGTGTGTGTGTGTGTGTGTGTGTGTGTGTGTGTGTGTTGCACTGCATGTTAGCATGGCTGGTTGGCTGCAGGGCCTACATGCGTCGTGAAACTTAACACTCCAACACGCAGCCTTGGCTCGGCAGCTCTCCTTTCTCACTCTCTTTCTTCTTTTGTGGAGGGCTGCCTCGCCATGGCTTTCTCAGATACGGTGCGGGAGCACCTGTCATCAGAGGCTGCGACTTGGCTCCTGGCCCTGGGCTGTTGCTCCTCACTGGATGTGGCTTATATGTGGGCTGATGGTGGAGCGCTCTATTCTGACTATGCTTCGACCTGCCCGCAGGATTTCGCGGGGGCATGTCAGCTGGTTGCGTTCTGGAGTCGTTGCCACCGGCTGTCAAGCATCGATGTGGCCACCTGTTCCAGTGAGGTTCAGCTATGCAGGCGGAGCATCCTGCCTTTTGGACCGCGGACGCTGCAAGGCTATGAGCCTCTTCTTCAGGCACGGCCTAAGGGAGCGGCTCGAGCTCTGGTACCGTGGAGAGTGTCTTCGCAGCCTGTTGCCACGACCATAGCTCAGAGGGATCGACCGTTGCGGCCCTCCGACAGCTTGCGCAACAAGTGTGTGGCGCTCTTCGTGGTGCTCTACCAGTATATCTTGGACGCAGCAGAGATTGGTTTTCCGGTCCTGAATTTGAGTGACGCAGACGAGGTCTGGCGGGCCACTCAGTTAGTGCTGGGTGGTGCCATGCGGCTGTCTGAAGGACACATAGCAACCATAACTGCTGGTTTGAAACGATGGATTCGTTTCGCCGTTGCGCACAGTGTTGATATCAGGCGTCCCCATGCCCGCGACTTGGCCTCCTTTCTTCAGGAGGTTAGCAAGGGCGGGCCTACTGCTGCAGCCTCCCTTTGGCAGATGTTTCGCTGGCTTCGCTCTAACGTCGGAGCCGAGTTCGATGTCGAGCATTTCTTAGTGCGTCCTTTCAGGCTGCATGCCCCTGGACATGTCCAGCAACAACGGGATGAGTTAGAGCCTTGGGAGTTTGCAAACATGTTGATCTGTGCTGCTGAATTGACAGGTTGCCCTCGAACCCTAGCAGCCTTTTGCATTATGTCTGCGGCTTCGTGCGTTCGCTTCCGGCATATGCAGAGATCAGTCTTCTTTCGTGATCATGGTGCTTGGCTGGAGTTCCGGTGCGCCATGGGTAAGAGCCGAAGGCAGGGCGTCCGGCCCCCGTACCACTGGGCCCTCCCGCAGCTGGTCTTCGAAGGTTTCGACTTGCTGGCAGAGATCCGTCCCGTGGTGGTCCGTCAGAGCAAAGCGGGGGCCGATTTTCTTTGGCCTCGGCCAGTGCTGACACCGGAAGAGCTGTGGCAGGTCGTGGAGCTTACGCCGCTGGATGTGGGGCGCCAGCTGAGCCCTTCGAGATTCATGGAGTTCTTCAGGGGTCTCCTTTCGCGGTGTGGCCTCCCCGCGGAAGAGGTGGCCAGAGCAGGCTACAACCGTCTTAGGCGTTTTTTGCCTACGGGTGGTTCTACGCTGGGTCTTGATGAGATTTCCATGCAAGCTATCGGCTCCTGGACAGAGCCGGCGCAGGCGCAGCAGGGTGCCAAGCGCCAGAAGCTCATGTCCACGCATTATGCAGGAAATAAGCTTGACAATAGCCTGCAGGCTAAGCAGCAAGTGCTTCAGGCAGTGGTCAGGGCCATCCGTCGAATGCAAGGCCATAGGAAGGGATCGCCGCAGCTTTTCCCTTCCCAGTCATTGCTCTGGTCGCATGTTACGGCCCCCTCTCTTTCTGCACCGAGGGGGCATGCCCCCAAAAAGGACAGCGCGGCAACTTCGGAGATCTCTTCCTCGCAGAGCTCTTCCAGCTCGTCTGGCGAGGCTGAGGATTTGAGTTCTTCGGGGGAGGAGGTGCTTCCCGTAGCCGATGTGGATGACTGGGCCTGGTTCCAGCAGAGGGCGAAGTTCCACGTTGTGCAGTGCAGGGATGATGGTGAGCGCCTTGTACCGTTCTGCCGAAAAGCTGCTTTCCCGCAGGACCCTACGCGCACAGGCTCTGGCTTGCCGCCTATGGAGGGCGCTGTTTGCCAACGTTGCCTCCGTAGTGTGCCTAAGCTCTTGAAAGCCCGGCTCCTCGAGTCGCGGGGCCTATGAACCCTGCACGAGCAGCGCGGCTGGAGGGGGAAGAAAAAAATGCTAGCTTCTTTCCACATGTACGGTGAGGCGTGTGCTCCTGCATGGACAGAGCAACGTTTTCGCCCACAATGCACATGTTGTATGCCCTTCCACGTGTGCTGTCTGCTTCGCGACGCCACGTGCGAGGTCGCGCAGGTTTTGCCACAACTCATTTGTGTTCGCAGGCACGTTGTTCCAAAAGCGTTGCAGTCCCGAACACTGCTTCTTTCCACATGTACGGTGAGACGTGTGCTCCTGCATGGACAGAGCAACGTTTTCACCCACAATGCACATGTTGTATGCCCTTCCACGTGTGCTGTCTGCTTCGCGACGCCACGTGCGAGGTCGCACAGGTTTTGCCACAACTCATTTGTGTTCGCAGGCACGTTGTTCCAGAAGCGTTGCAGTTCCGAACGCTGCTTCTTTCCACATGTACGGTGAGACGTGTGCTCCTGCATGGACAGAGCAACGTTTTTCACCCACAATGCACGTGTTGTATGCCCTTCCACGTGTGCTGTCTGCTTCGCGACGCCACGTGTGAGGTCGCGCAGGTTTTGCCACAACTCATTTGTGTTCGCAGGCACGTTGTTCCAGAAGCGTTGCAGTCCCGAATACTGCTTCTTTTCACATGTACGGTGAGACGTGTGCTCCTGCATGGACAGAGCAACGTTTTCGCCCGCAGTGCACATGTTGTATGCCCTTCCCACGTGTGTTGTCTGCTTCGCGATGCCACGTTCGAGGTCTTCGGAGCCTCTCTCCTTCCACATGTAATAATGCTTCACGTAGTTTTCCATCTCTGCAGTTGTGACGGCAGTACGCGTGTGACTTTACCAGACTCCGCGCTCTGTGTTTTTGCACCAGGGCTGCTGGTGGGGTCTTGCTGCTGAAGAACTTTGTGGAGTTCAGCTTTTGTGCTCAACTGTGTGACATGGAACGTTGGCCCTCGGAGTGCTCCTTGCAAATTCACGACGGACTGCCACGTTTTGCCGCTACTTTGCGCGCGCATGCAGTTTGAGTAACGTGAAAGAATGTTCGCGGGTAAAATCTAGTTTTTTTTTTCCCTTTCATCTCAACAGATCTGTCAGAGCTTGGTAAAGATCCGCAGTTTTCCTCAAGTTTGCACCTGCAATCCCCCCCGTACGGTGGTGGCTGCGATGGCCTCGGCCAGCCGTGTGGACCTCAATGCGGACGACAAAGGCCTTCGGACCTGTTGGACTTCGTGCAATGTGCTTCCTGAGTGGCAAGGAGCCATTCTCCAGCACCACAAGCTTGAGACGCTCGACGACTTCGTCTTCATGATCAACAAGCAAGAGTGGGAGACGTCCCTCAATGCTTTCTGCCAGGAGGTGAACGCTATCAGGGACAACAGGCTCGCGCTGGCGCGAGTCAAGGCTTCGTGGCAGGCCGGGTCAACGGCCATCCAGGCATGCCAGCAGACTGCCATTAAGCACCAGAGCGACATGGACCTCGATGATCCGTTGCCGGAGGCCACGTTGCAAACTCTGCAACATGACTGGAAACGATCGTACCAGTTGGTGATGGAGCCTCATCTCGAGCCTGCAGATAGCTTGAGAGGAAGAGTTTACAGGGAGTTCAAGCGCCGCACAATGTCTGTCTTGGACGCTCGGAAGATCAAGACCATCGTTGCCCAGTCCATGCCATCCAGAGAAGAGAACATTCTCCTTCACACCGGGGTCGTCCTTCAGATGCACAAAGAGTCTCTCGCGCCTTTGCGCAGCGCCGTGGAGTACTACTGGGCACTTCGCACCTTGGCTTACGCTTGAGCCTTTGCAGGGAACTACATGTGTAAGGACAGTGACGGCGTCGAAAGGAAGATGATTGGCCTCACCGAGAGCCTCAACTATGCAGATGTCAGTTTGCGGAACTGCATGGAGTTTGGTGGGGGCAGCCTCGCTTGGTATGAGCGTAACGACAAGCTCACCCGAGGTAAGATGGCCAGTTTGGTCCGCAGAGGTGATAATGCTTGCACGGCGCTGGCGACAGCCCTGCAGGAGACGCACCTCGAGTGGCGATCGCCGCCAGCTCGGTCCTTGGAGAGCGCAGGTGCCCCTGAGCCCAAGCGTCGTGTCACAGCTGACCCGTCCGCCACCTCGCCAAACAAGGCTCCCCGTTTGCAAACCGTCTCCATGGCTAAAGGTGGCCGCAAGTTCTGCAAGGCTTACAATGACGGCAGGGGGTGCAACCGTTCTCCATGCCCGGACCTTCATACCTGCGACGTCCGGCTGCCGTCCGGAGCGGCTTGCAACAGCACTCAGCACACCAGGCTGCAGCATCCTGCCTGAAGAGGGGAAGGCCTCTCTTCGCACTCAGTGGGGCTCCCGGAAATTCCTGAGAGTGCATGCTCTTTTGAGCGTTGCGAGACACCCTTCGTTCAGGGTTCGGCTCCGGGCTCAGATATCACTCCTGACACTAGTGAGGCGGAGTTGCTCCCCCCCCCGCAGGTCTGCCAACAGGTCAGACGTCAGGCTTGTGATCCAGAGCCGCCTCTCTCATCCTTGGCCTCAATTGCGCATTCAACTGCATTGAGCAGCGCACGTAGGGTTGAGCTAGGGCTAGGTCCCGAACCCGCCGTGGTTTCCCCTAGGTTCCCTAACCCGCCATCTCCTGCGCAGGTGCCGAAAGCTGGAGCGCAGCAATGTGCACGCAGGGTTGCCCTAGGTCCCGAACCCGCCGTGGTTTCCCCTAGTCCCCCTTTGGTGCCTGCTTCTTTGTCCATGCAAGATGTCGCGCAACGTTTGCGTGCAGCTCGTCCAGTGACATGGAGAGGCAGTGGGGACCTCCCAACATACCGCCCATCCGCGGCACGTGGCTTGTCCTTGACTTGTGGGCTGGCTTCAGTGGCCTCTGTGTGGCGCTCCTGGGCCTTGGTGTCTCTTTCTATGCCCTCGCAGCCGAGTTGGACGAGCAAGCGCGGGAGTGTGCGTCTCGCAGTATGCCCAGCATTGTCCACGTTCCCAGGGTAGAGGACATTTGCGTTGAATGCCTGCTGCCTTTTCTCCAGCGTCGCAATGTTAGGGGTGTCATTGTCGGGGGGGGATCGCCCTGTCAACCGCACAGTTCCTTGAACCGCAAGCATAAAGGCATCGCGGATGCCAGAGCTTGCCAGCTATCGCACCTGGTTCACCTCTTGAGTGAGCTGAGGGCCCACCCTTCTTGTGCAGCTCTGGAAATTTTCTCTTTCCTAGAGAATGTTGCGAGCATGGAGCCTGCAGCTGTTGAGCAGCTGTCAGCATGGGCGGGTGGGCAGCCTGTCCGATCTGATGCGCAATTTTGTGGGTGGACAAGACGCAACCGTCTCTACTGGCTGGGCTCTGTCAGGAAATCCTTATCTCCGGCCACGGCAGAGCCACCGCATGACTGGGCGTGGTTTCAAGACGCTGCTGCGTTTCCTGAGTTGCGCTTTGTTGGTGACAAGCCTCTGCCCAAGACAATGCAGTGGCAGCAAGGCTTTACGCCCCTCACCACGCCCAGAGCGGTCATGAAAGGCGAGGCGTTACCATTCTTCACCTTCACACCTGAGTTCTATCACCCCACTGATGCCGACGCTTCAGAACCGCCTGAGGTGATGGACCGTTTCTTGTGCGACAACCGCCGTTTTCCCTTGCCCGCCTATCGTGAGTGTTCACTGGTCTGGAAACAAGAGCATTGGCGTCAACCGCTTCCAGAGGAGCGTGCTCAGATGCTTGGGGTGCCCTCGTCTATAGTCGGGGGCCTTGTAAAGGACGAGCCCAAGCGACGGCAAGTGCACAACAGCATATTGGGTAATGGTTCCCACATCTTCACCGTGATGGCCATTCTGGCCATGCTTCCCAGTCTGTGCTCTGCCAAATTTCTGCCACCTTCCCTGCACCCGGATGCTGAGCTGCGGGCACGCATTGCGGGGACCCCCTGGGATCCCACCAAGCGTGCAGCTTTCCCTGGCCTTTATGATGCTGCTGGTTTGGTCAAAGATATGAAGGCTCAGTTCTGCGAGCTCAACGTGCCACCCTCAATTTGGAAGGCTGTCGAGCACCGCCTGACTTTTTGCGACCTCCCTCTCATGCAGCTACATGTTGTGTTTGTTCGAGGCCGCGGAGAGGTCTGGCACGAGCTCGGGCCCTCTTCTCTCGATAGGCGTTCCAGAGCCCGGGTTTTTACCAGTCTGAGCGGCCAACGCTACCCCTCTGACACTGCAAAAGGCCTTGACTTCCTCCTCCCGCCAGGCCTTGGAAAAGAAGCTCACATCGCGCAAAGTCTCCAGCTTCCGTCTCCCTTTGAGCCCCAGTCGTGGCCCGAGGCCGATCTGCTCCTTCCGATCCACGCCCTGCAGCTCTGGCGGGAATTCTTCCCATGTCTGGCTCAGCGACAAAGGGACGTCGTGCGCGCTCTGCGACGCGCGCTTGAACCCCTGGACCAAGCGTTGTGGCCCTTCAGGTCCGAGTCCTCGCAGCGAGTGGCCTCAAGCAAGAGTCCAGCTTTTGCCGCTTGTATGGTTTCCTTGCTGCGCTGGCCGGATAGGGACATAGGCATGTCACTCGTTAGAGGTTTTAGCATCGTGGGCGAGATTAGCTCGTCGGGTCTTTTTCGGCCCGTGCCGGTCAAAGAGACCCCTCCTACGTTGCAGCAGTGGCTTTCTGCAGAGGCCGCTGAGTCGGTTGAAGCCATCATCAGGTCTCCGCCGCCTAAAATGCACCAGGAAATCTTAGCAGTGACTCTCGATGAGATATCTAAGGGTTTCTGTTCCCCCCTAAAGACGAAAGCTGAGATGGATGACATTTTCGGGGTCGCCCAGTGGCGACCACTTGAGCGCTTCGTGCTCAACCAGCACGGAAAAATGCGAGTCATCGATAATGCAAGAAAGACGCACCACAATGCGCATGCCAGTCTTGCAGAGACTATTTGGACGAGCTCCGTTGACTTTGTGCCGGCAGTCATTCGTGACATCTTGTCAGCGCTTTGCCCGCAAGGCCCAGCGCCGGAGTGGTTGCGCTTCCGCGTAGGCACGGAGGACCTTCCTGATGCCTACCGTGGCTTGCCGGTCAGCACGGAGCACCTGGCAGTGTCAGTTGCGTCCGTCTTCGTCCCGGGCGAAGGCTGGCGCTTCACAGTCCTTTGGGGTCTTGCGTATGGCCTTGAAGCGGCAGTCGTCGCCTTCAACCGTTTTCCGTGTTTGGGCATTGCCGTTGCAAGGAGATGTTGCTCTGCGTTCGCATCTGCCTACTTTGATGATCAGCTGGCCCTGGAGGCAGTTTCCACGTCGGACTTGTCCAGGCAGGGGATCCTTTGCTCCTTCACCTGCATGGGGGCACCGCCTCAGAAGCCGAAAAGTTTCCCCCCTACGGCGGACAGGCCTTACCTGGGCGTCTCCCTGCATGTTGGCGATGCTTCTCTTGACCGTTGGATGTTTATGCAATGTAAGCAATCCACAAAGCACAAAGTCTCAGCAAAGCTGGATTCCATCTTGGCTGCCAATGCTCTCTCTCGCGACGATGCTAGCAAGCTCCGTGGAGACGTTCAGTGGCTTTTCTCGTCGTGCGCGGGTAATGCTGCTAAGTATGCAGGGCCACTACTTCGACAGGCGCAACTAGAGGGTCGTCCTAGTTTGCTCGATGAGGAGCGCGTGGTCCTCCAATGCCTGCGCCACATGGTGCTCTGTGCCAAGCCCAAAGTCATTAGCCTCGAGCCACATGCGGGACCTTTCTCCGTGATTTACACAGATGCTTCATTTGAAGGGGGTGAACTTCGTTTAGGTTGGGTGATCTTCCAGCCTTCCCCTCGAGTCCCCCTCGCGGGCACATGCCTCGTGCCGCAGGCGGCCATTGAAGAATGGAAGCCGCGCAAACAGCAGATTTTTGCTGGCGAAACTTTGGCAGTCCTGATTCTTCCCCTTCTCTATCCTCAAGTTCTGTGCTCTACAGACGCCTTATGGTATGTAGACAACCAAGGGGCAGTGTCTGCAGCCGTCAAAGGCTGCAGCAATGAAGGCGACATTCACGAGATCGCTCATTTCGCAGCCATCTTGCGCTTTCAGCTAAGTCTCCGAACATTCTTCGAGTGGATAGACTCGGACAGCAACCCGAGCGATGAACTTTCTCGCTTGGGGCTCCACTGCGAGTGGTCCAAGCAACAAGGCTGGCAGTTGTCCGAGTTTGACTTCCCGCCAGAAGCCTACAGATCCAGTCTTCAGCTCAGGCTACGCGATGTCTTCTGAAACAGTGGGTGCGTTCTATACTTTGAGAAACCATGGGTGGGTCTGCGACCGCCACAAGCTGTATGTCCCTCTGCTGAGGGCATACTTGTACCCATCGCCAGTGTGGCGACTGAGGAACGCAGGTGTTCAGAGACATCGCTCATGAAGAGAAAAAGGAATGCTGCTCTCGAGCGTTTGCGGTGTGAGTTTCTTGCACTGCATGTTAGCATGGCTGGTTGGCTGCAGGGCCTACATGCGTCGTGAAACTTAACACTCCAACACGCAGCCTTGGCTCGGCAGCTCTCCTTTCTCACTCTCTTTCTTCTTTTGTCCCACCCGCCCTCCCTGAGTCCTCCTGCCGGACGATGGGAGAGGGTGTTCGTGGATGAACTCTTTGTCTGTATAAGGAAAGAGGGGGTGGGTCTGCGACCGCCACAAGCTGTATGTCCCTCTGCTGAGGGCATACTTGTACCCATCGCCAGTGTGGCGACTGAGGAACGCAGGTGTTCAGAGACATCGCTCATGAAGAGAAAAAGGAATGCTGCTCTCGAGCGTTTGCGGTGTGAGTTTCTTTACGTGATACACGTTATTCCTAGCGAACAAAGAAGAGAAGCTTCTGTATCAAACCAGAAGACGCTGCTGCACTCCCCAAGCCTCCCACAAAGAAGCAAAGAAGTGACAGAGGTTGAGATGAGGAAGAGCTCGGCCGGGGCTCTCGGATCAAGCACATGAGGCATTGCAGGATCGGAAGAGTTCCTCACACAAGTGCTCTTGCGGGATACTGGTGCACCTTTTAATCAAGGTTGCTCACATGCTCGCGCGCTCAAACTTGCATCTCAACCTGACCACCTCAGGCGACATACCTGGAGGCAGGCGTGGACATCGAGATGGATGAGGCTGCCACAAACAGACACAAAGCCGAGGTCAAGAGATCGCCTCGACTCGGAGTTATCACTCGGGGGGAGAATACTGGACCTGCACAAAGACCTATCAAGATGTGAAGTAAAGTGCCTGCTCTGCTACGTCTCCACGCAAACTTTCTTCTTGAACTCACTCCTACACGCTAGACAGGTTCATCTTCAAGCCACCTTCCCCCCGAGGCCTCAAAAGCCA